AATTGTGTGTTATTTTGATATCAAGGATATAATCATTTATTTATTATTTAAAATGTTGGAGGACAAATAAAAAATCACAAATTTAAAGAGCAAAAATTAAACACCACCTAAATATAGGATATTTGTATGAATGACACGAAAGGGTGTTTGGATTGGCTTTGCTTAAGTAGCTTATAAGCTATAATTCATAAGTTGATCGTAACCAATTTTTGACTTTTAACCTTTTTTATTATTATTATTATTATTTTGACTTAAAATAAGTACTTAAAAACATTTTTTTTATCTTTCTCAAACACCTTTAAAAATAACATATACAGAAAAATTAAAAGCCAAAAGTTACTTAAAATAGTCAATCCAACTACCCTTTAAATAATATTAAACTTCTTTTACTAAAGTATTACTGTTATAAAATAAAGACTAAGTACTAAAATTAAACTAATAACAACCAAGAAGAGAAGAATGTAGTAGAGAGATAAAATAAAATAGGAAACTTTTATCTTCCTTATTTTTGTGTGCTTTTCCATACAAGTTACAATGCCTTTTATAGGCATAAAAAAGGTATAATGGATATTCATTAATCCATTTACAACACTCCCCTTTGGATGTCCACGTAAAATAAAATTCTTAGTAAAGTAACAAGTATAAATAGTTGTTACTAATATGCATTACTTGATGCCTCATTAAAAGCATTATCAGGAAAACCCAGTGGGATAAAACTTTGATTTAGGAAAAAGAGTACAACGCGTATTTTACTCCCCCTGATGAAAACTACGATTCAGTTGTCCAAGTTTTCTCATTCCAATCATGTATACCATATTCTCAAAAGTTGCGGTTGGCAGAGACTTGGTGAATAAATCAGTCACATTATCACTCGAATAAATCTGATGTACGTTGATATCACCATTCTTCTGGAGCTCATATGGATAGAAAAACTTCGGTGCCGTGTTTCGTTCTATCTCCTTTTATGAATCCTCCCCTGAGTTGTGTTATGCATTATGCATTATCCTCATAATTGTGGGTACTTTGTCGCATTTCAAATCATATTTTTCTCGAATAAGGTGTATTATGGACCTTAACCACACACATTCTCGACTCGCTTCATGAATAGCTATTATCTTAGCATGATTTGATGAAGTGGCTACAATAGACTGCTTCGTAGATCTCCAAGATATGGCAGTACCCCCACATGTGAATACGTACCCTGTTTGAGATCTAGCTTTATGTGGGTCAGATAAATATCCTATATCAGCATAACCAATAAGGTTTGGACTGCAATTATTAAAATGGAACAAGCCCATATCGATAGTCCCCTTTAGATACCGTAATATGTGTTTGATTCCATTCCAATGTCTCCTAGTAGGAGCATAACTATAACTTGCTAACAAATTAACTGAAAAGGTTATATCAGGCCTTGTAGTGTTAGCAAGATACATTAGCGCACCAATTGCACTAAGATATGGTACTTCAGGACCAAGAATTTCATCATTCTTTTCTTGAGGTCGAAATGGATCTTTATTCACATCAAGCAATCGAACAACCATTGGAGTACTTAATAGGTGTGCTTCATCCGTATAAAATCTTTTCAGCACCTTTTATGTGTATGCAGATTGATAAACAAAAATATCGTTTGTCAAATGCTTATTTGCAAAACCAAGACATAATTTTGTCTTTCCGAGATCTTTCATCTCAAATTCGTTCTTTAAATAATCGATTGCCCTCTAAAGTTCCATTGGAGTTTCAATAAGGTTTATGTCATCGACATAAACAACAAGTACAACAAACTCTGATATTATTTTCTTTATAAACACACATGGGCAAACTCACATCATTTATATAACCTTCCTTAGATAAATACTCACTAAGACGGTTATACCACATGTGTTCAGATTGCCTCAAACCATTACAATGATCTTTGTAATCTAATTGAGTACATTTCCCGAGAGTTTGCACTGTATGCTTTGGGCATTTTGAATCCTTCAGGAATTTTCATGTATATCTCATTATCGAGTGATCCATAAAGATAGGTTGTAACCACATACATCAAATGCATTTCAAGCCTCTCATGGATTGTGAAACTAATGAGATAACGCAATGTTATTGCATTCATAACGGGTGAGTATGTCTCTTCATAATCGACGCCAGGCCTTTGAGAAAATTCTTGTGCAACAAGGCGTGCTTTGTACCATTGTACTTCATTTTTCTCATTCATTTTCCGCATAAAAAACCCATTTATAGCCAACAGGTTTAACACTATTAGGTGTTTGTACTATAGGCCCAAAAACTTCACGTTTGACAAGTGAATTCAATTCTGATTGAATTGCTTCTTGCCATTTTAGTCAATAATTTTTTTGTCGACATTCTACAACAAACTGAGGGTCAAGATCCTCATAATTTTGCATATTTTTTTATGCAACATTATATGCAAAAACATAATCCACCACTATTTCTAATCGATTCAGATTTATTTCATCATCACTTGATTTTATGGATAGTTCATTATTTTCTTGAGTCTCAAGTTCATTGATCCCTTCAAGGATACCAGAATTACTCGCATCTTGACTTTCTATATCAAGTTTTTTCATAGTATCATTTTGACCTTTTAATTTTTTTTCTAGGATTTTGATCCTTTGAACCTAATGGTCTATCACGTTTCAAGCGTGCTTTTGACACATTAGCTATGACACTAGTAGATGGTCCTACAGGGAAATCAATTCGAATTGGGACATTCTTTGCAGGAATATATGTGATTTAGTAATCTTTATCAAATCTGTAAATACGTTTGGTATTTGATATGTAATTTTCTGCAAATGAATGATCTTTTGTACTTGTTGCTCACAAATGAAAGTACGGGGATCAAGATGAGACAATGATGGATTTTTCCACAAAATTTCTCCTTTAATTTCACTATTTTCTCCCCCTAATTTTGGAAAAAGTGTGTCATCAAACCGACAATCTCCGAATCTGGATGTGAACATATCTCCAGTTAGTGGTTCAAAGTAGCGAATAATAGAGGGTGATTCAAACCCAATTTATATTCCTAACCTCCTTTGGGGGCCCATTTTAGTGCGATATGGTAGTGCTAGCGGCACATATACATTGCATCCAAAAGTTCTTAGATGAGATATATTGGGTTGTTGACCCAAGACTAATTGCAATGGGGAAAACTTATGATAATTTGTCGGTCTGAGACGAATAAGTGTTGCAACATGCAAAATTGCATGACCCCACACAGAAGGGGGTAACTTAGTTTTCATAAGTAATGGTCTTGCTATCAACTGCAATCGTTTAATTAATGACTTAGTCAAACCATTTTGAGTGTGAACATGAGCTACATGATGTTCAACTCTTATCCCAATTGATAGACAATAATCATTAAATGTCTGGGAGGAAAACTCTACACGTTATCAAGGCGAATGGAATTAATTTGATTATCAGGAAACTGTGCTCATAATCATATTATTTGTGCCAACAATTTTGTAAATGCCAAGTTGTGAGATGACAATAGGCACACATGAGACCATATAGAAGAAGCATCTATCAAGACCATAATATATCTAAATGGCCCACTTGGTGGGTGAATAGATCCACAGATGTCCCCATGTATACGTTCCAAGAACGCAGGGGACTCAATTTTTACCTTTGTTGGTGATTGTCTCGTAATTAACTTTCCTTGATAACATGCATTACAAGAAAATTCACCATTTAAAAGAATTTTCAAATACTTTAATGGATGCCCATTTAAATTTTCTATAATTCGTCCTATCATTATGGACCCAAGATGTTCCAGACGATCATGCCAAAGTACGAAGGTATTGGAATTAATACACCCCCGATTTACTATAGAATGTGCCTCAATTGCACTAATTTTTGTCCAATATAATCCAGAAGATAAGACGGTGAATTTTTCTACAACATATGTTTGCCCGGAGACAATTATTGATTATACCAAGATATTCAAGATTGATTTCATCAATTGTCTTGATATGATAATCATTTTCACGAATATCTTTGAAACTCAATAAGTTTCTCCGAGACTGAGGAGAAAATATAGCATTATTTATTATGAGTATAGTTTCCTTGGGCAAAATTATAATGGCTCTTTTGAAGCCCTTGATCAAATTAGCACTACCAAATATCGTAGTAACATTCATATTGCCCATACTTAAATGAGAAAAATATTTCTCATTTTTTAATAACGTGTGTTGTACCAGAATCAATCGAGCAAATGTCTTCATAATTTGATAATTTACTTGGAGAATTATCCATATATTTCAAAAGTAATGAAATAAATTTATATAAAATCATTAATTATCTTTTATTAAACAATTTATAAAATATAAGATATAATTGGAAGTGTTAAAATGACATTTGAATCATTATAATGATCATATACTAATAATTCACAAGATCTTTATCATCCAAACATTTAACACTAAACTTTAGTTTAGTTTAGCATGTCTAAAATAAATATTAATATAATTGTTTAATTTCATGAAAGGACATGACAAAAGAAAAAGTTGTTTTCCCACTTACTTTATTTAGATAGTGCATTTACTTTCACTTTAAATATAACACTATATGTTTCCTTTTATAGTCACAAAATGATAAGAAGAAAATATCTTCTTAATATATTTCAATTCATCTTCAAATCATTATAAAATTCCAACTCACATTTCCATAAATGTTTTAAAAGGGACTCAATTAATATACATGGATAAACATAAGTACTTTAATTATTTATTTTCCACATTATTACCAGTACAAAATAACAAATATTAATAACATTATTATTAGCAAATATCAACCATGATTATTCTTTCATATCCACAGAACCGTCACCAATCAAGTGATATATTTTTCCTTCAGGCTGTGTGAAGAAATCTGCTACATCCAAGTGTGTGATGTCAACATGATCAGTGATACAATTAGCTTCAGGATTTTTATCCTTCTTTCTTAGTGATGCTTGATAAAGCTCAACCAAGTGCTTAGGAGTATGACAATCATGTCCATAATGACCTCTTCTTTCTTAATGATGCTTGATAAAGCTCAACCAAGTGCTTAGGAGTACGACAATCACGTGCATAATGACCTCTTCCACCACATCGAAAACAGTTTGTTTTAACTGTTTCACGTTTCTCATCCTTTCCTTTTCCCTTTTGATAGTGATTTTTCTTTGGTGAATAATTAACACCGGGAAAAGGATTTCGCTCTTGGTAATAATTACGACCACGTCCACGTCCGCGACCTTTTTCACGCCTAGCGTGGTGGGCGTACACCTTATTCACTTCAGGGAATGGTGTAGATCCAGTATGACGATTCTCGTGATTTTTCATTAACAAATCATTATTTTGTTCAGCCACAAGAAGATGAGAAATAAGTTCAGAATACATTCTTGAAACCTTTTTCTCGATATTGTTGCTGTAAAAGCACATTCGAGGCATGAAAGATGGAGATCGTTTTTTCCATCATATCAACATCACTAAACGTATCTCCACATAGTTTCAATTAAGAAGTGATTCTGAACATGGCAGAATTGTACTCATGAATAGACTTAAAGACTTGTAGTCATAAATGCATCCAATCATATCGTGCCTTTGGATGAATGACATATTCAAATGGTCATATCTTTCTTTTAGATTATGCCACAGAACGAGTGGATCTTTGACTGTGAGATATTCAATTTTCAAAATTTCGTCAATATGATGACATAAGAATATCATTGCTTTAGCACAGTCTTGTTTTGATACTTTATTTTCAATTTTAATAGTGTCTCCAGGACCCATTGCATCCAAATGGACTTCAGCATCTAGTACCCATGAAAGGCAGTTCTTGCCCGAACTATGAAAGGCAACGAACTCAAGTTTAGTAAGATTAGCCATAATAAAGAGAAGAAAACTAATAGTACCTTAGCCTTCAAATTTAGTCTTCAACCTTTGAGATGATAGAGTGTCGTGCTAATAACGTGTTATAAAATAAAGACTGAGTACTAAAATTAAACTAATAACAATCAAGAAGAGAAGAATGTAGTAGAGAGATAAAATAGGAAACTTTTGTCTTCCTTATTTTTGTGTGTTTTTCCATACAAGTTACAATTCCTTTTTATAGGCACAAAAAGGGTATAATGGACATTTATTAATCCATTTACAACAATTACATTTTTATATAAAAGAGGTTCAAGGTCCAAGGTCCAATAATTGAACCTTTGAAAAGAGAGGGTGGACCAAAAATATAGTTGTTATATCAAAATTAGGTGTAAATAATCAAACAGACTGATCTAGTGGATAAATCTGGAATATAGAAAAAGAAAAAAAAGTGAACCAGAGAATGCAATTGATTACATTATAAGGTTGTCAATTGAATAGATCGAGCAAGCTGGAATTGACATAACATGAAACCAATTAGATCAATTTTCACTTTTATTATTTATATAGAATTTTACATGTTTCTTAAGAAATAATTATTACTTAATATAAGTATTTTTTAAAAATAATATTCATGTTAATTGTTATGCATATAATGGTAGATTTTGAAAAATAAGTAATCAATATTAAAGTAAAATATGAAGAAAAAAATTATATTTTTAATATAATAGACAAGTGAACGGAAACGAATTATTATAATACAGAAATGCAACGTTCAAACAAATTGTTAATGCACATCCGTAAAGTTTGAAATCCATAGTTTAAGTTGTTTGCATAAAATAAGCAAAAGAAAACAGAAAAGCAAGTAGTTTCTCTAATTTTGCGTGTAAGTTTGTGATGGAGAAAAAATAAACTAATTAAACTCAAATCCATTTTTCTTGTCTACTGATTAACAGGTGGTTGAGCTGCAAAATCCCTTAGTTATTCCCATTAATTCCTCTCTTCTTCCCATCCTTAATTAATCACTTTCAACCAAGTTGTTATACCTATGTTACCTACTCCAACAATTTTAATCTCATCTCCTTAATTACAAAATTAATCAATACACTAGCAGTTAATTGGAACGAAGAATAACGTAAAAATGGCATTGATGATCAGCGATTTATGCAGTTTACATTACCCTATTAATTTGTCGAACACCGAGCTTCAGGTGAAGGAATGCCGGATTCTGAAATTTGGTTGTAATGGGAAGAAGAAATTGATGTCGGTAAACGCTAGCGCAAGCGGAAGTGGAAATTCGAAGAGTATTGATACGATTAATGGGAAGAAGATTAATGGTGTTCATGTAGGGCAAAGGGGAAATGTAGTAATTGAACCGGGATCGTCATCGGCTTCGTCGTCGTCGTCATCGGTGAACCATTCATATATGTTGGGGAATTTTGTGGATGAGCGGTTTGTGTATAGACAGTCTTTTGTGATTAGGTCTTATGAAATTGGGCCTGATAAAACTGCTACAATGGAAACTATCATGAATCTCCTTCAGGTTCGTCTACTTCATCTGCTTTGTTTTTTATTTATGTTGGAATTTGAACTTAGATCTTCGATGATTTTGAATCACATTGTTGATTTGGTTACTGTATTATTTGTTGTTGCTACTGTTTTTATTTTTCTTTAGCATTCTTTCATGCTTGATCTGGTCTATTAGAAATAGTCTTTCTTGTGAACCAAGGTAAGGGTAAGGTTGCATACAAACCACACTCACCAGATCGAACTTGTGCGATTACACTGGATATGTTGTTGTTGTTGTACTTATCGTGGTTTTTACCTACTTTATTCATTAGTAGACCACACCTAATTTGAATGTTTCATTGAGTTTTACTTTGCCTAAATACTCATGGAAGAAATCATGTAAAAAATGTGATAGTATATTGCAGGAGACAGCTCTAAATCATGTGGCAAATTCAGGGGTTGGTAGTAATGGATTTGGGGCTACACGAGAGATGAGCCTTAGAAAACTCATATGGGTAGTCACTCGCATACAGATTAAAGTTGAACAATATAGCTCCTGGTATTCCTCTTTCCATTTGATATTATCATAATTTATGTGATGTTCAAAAAGAACAACAAGCTAACGCGATTCAAAACTACAGGGGAGATGTGGTAGAGATAGATACATGGGTAGATGCAGCAGGTAAAAATGGAATGAGGAGGGATTGGATCATTCGCGACTCTAACACTCGCAACATCATCACAAAAGCAACAAGGTATGTGTAAACATACTTGTATCCCTATGTGTATTATGTTCTTTCTTTTTGAGAGGATTACTGAAAAATGTCACTATATATGTGGTAACTTTGCAGCACATGGGTGATAATGAACAGAGAAACAAGAAGGTTATCCAAAATCCCGGAGCAGGTCAAAGCAGAAGTTCGACCTTTCTACATCAACAAATTCGCTATTCCTACTGCACAAATTGATTCTGAAAAGATTGAGAAACTCAACGATGAAACCGCTCAAATTATCACTTCCGGCTTAGCTGTAAGACGAATCAATCATATATATTCCCCAAAGAAAAAGATGTTTGATAAATACATATACAGCTAGCTTGCATAACTTTAACTAGTCATGTCTAATCTTGATATAGCCGCGGTGGAGCGACATGGATGTCAATCAACATGTCAACAATGTCAAATATATTGGATGGATTTTGGAGGTAATTGAAAGCCTTTTGAGTCATTTGTAACTGCTTTAGCACATACAATATTATACATTGACAGTGCGAAAAATTTCCTCATTATGAGTGTATCTTTTCCTGTCTCTAATTCGTTATTATGAACTAGTTATCGTTCAAGTGACCTGACTGTCAATATATAGAAGGAAAACTCATATCCTCTAACGTTGAGGTTGAGGTTTACCACTCATTCATGTTTGAAGGTAGTGAAACTGTTCTTTTCTGTGTTTGCAGAGTGTTCCTATTAATGTTTTAGAAGACTGCAACTTAATGAGCTTGACATTAGAGTATCGACGTGAATGTCAATTGTCAAATGTGCTGCAATCCATGACAACAATGAGAGAAATAGCAACATCGGAAAGTGATAAAAATAGTGGAATGGAATGCACACATCTGATTCGTATGGAGGCTGATCAAGCAGAGGTTGTTCGAGCCAGGTCCATATGGCAGCCTAAACAATGAACCAGTTAAGTGTTATCTGCTAATTCTTCCCTACATTCATATTTTTTGCAGTGTGTATTTACTTTTGTCAACATAATGTACAAGTAGTTGAGTAGTTAAGTAATTAGAGAGAGTACTGTACAAGTTGTTCTCTTCTTTAGTATCAAAGGCGGATCCACTTTGACTCGAACACTATTTTTTGTATTGATTTTTGTAATTTGAAAAAAGACGCGTTACTACATATGATTCTCTATTTCTAATTGTGTAAGTAATTGTTATGATTCTCGAATAACAACAATTGATGGTGTCATTTTGATTATAACATCAAACACTATGTAGACTAACTAGCCTGCTTTATTTAGAGCTGTGTATACCTGGAAGTTGTAAAAAATTGCATTGGAGTTTGTCAGCTAAACTTTCCGACATTTTTGCCTGAAATTTAGCTTGCAAATGTCAAACTTCAGACAATTGTACCTGAAGTTTAGCTTGTCAAATTCAAACTTCAAACATGTAGGTCTGAAATCTCAAAAGTATATCGTTGATATGAAAGTAGTTTTCCGAAGTTTGGACTATCAATCTCGAAAGTCTATTCATAACTTTAGATTCTCGTGATTTACATTTTATAAGGTTAATTCACTAATTTCTTCATACTCTAGATTACTGCATTACTTGACTAATTTTTCACATTTAATCTTGCAAGTTGTAGAATGACATTAAAGTACAAGTAAACACATGTTACACCAAAATGATTTAAAAGAATAATAGGACAAACAGTGTCAAAAAGAACTCGTTAGATACTTCTTTGCTAATTTAGTTGCCATATTTTGTTTCAATATGACTAATAAGGAAGCAGTTCAAGTTTTATTATATTTTTAGAAAATTAATCCAAATGTGAAATAAAGTTGACTTTTTGAGAACTTGTTACATTATAATAATGGAAAACATCGAGAAATGGGAGGAAATTTAAAACAATTCATAGAAGTAAGAAGAGTAAATTCAAAAAATAGCAGACATGAAATAAGAAGAAACAACACAAAACTCGAATTTGACGCAAATTATTAGTTTCATCCTCAAATTATTGACAGCCTTAAAAGACTCTTCTACTTGACTAACTAAACTTAGATACATCTTGATACACCCCTGATGTGCCACATAATATAGAAAGTGTTCTCAAACTCTTATAGAAACATGATGCTCTTAATAAAAAATCAAGATAAATGTTGAAAACACTCCTACACTTTACTCGAATTTAGGGGTATATTTCACTCATGTTGCAAGATAAAAAATTTATTGAAATTTAGATTATCAAGTAAAAAAATATTTTTAAAGCTATCAATAATTTTAAAATGAAATTAAT